AGAAAATAATATGTGTATCTCCCAGAATCCAGTTTACGTCGTAAGCAGAATCAGACGTCAGTGGCCTACAAATCCTAGATTGCTGATCAAATCCGACAATCTTTGCCAATTGACCAACTTGAAAACGAAAAAATGACCCCAGACTGACGAACGGTGATCAAGTTAGTAGACTTTGTTTTGATACCATAACAGATGTACTATTACCTTTGTTATTTGGTTCAGTGGTTGATCTTCATTGTTATTTTGACTTTCAATATGTCCTTTTAACTTGACCTAAGTGGTCTATTTTCTCACCCCTTAACTCTTTGTTATATATACTCTGAGATTTTGTGAATTCCGGTTTAATAATACCAGTTTGATAAAGCTATAAGCAGCATTAAATAGCGAAACGTCAGTAAAATGAAACAATATCGTTTTGTTTTTCATTCATTGGGAAGTATAAGAAAACCTTTATTACAAATTTAAATAAGTTAAAAATAGATAGAACAATTAACCGGTGTTAGTTAGATGACTTACTTTAAGGTTATTTCAGTTTATGAATTCCTATAAAGCAACAATAGAACATAATCGACTCTATAACCTGTCTTACTTAATACGGTGCTTTGCGATAGATGATGTTAGGCATTTATTTCCAAAGTTAAAAGTAAGTATCAAAGTTTGGTCAATTAACGAACACTCACAGTAATAGTTTTTGAAAGTCGTTTTGAGGTTATGCTAATTTTTATACGGAAAAGGAAATTAATGTTGTTCTGCAAAACCCTCAGAACATTTAAAATATAATGTCACACATCATTATATAAATCAATTTTCACGCATCTATGATTTCAAATACATAGGGAAGACCTGTCAGTCTCTGCAGGTTAAGGCTGCAGAGCACAATAATAAATCACTTCAAGGGCAAATGAAATCACTTAAGTGGAAATGCATATCCGACGTCAATTATTGCAAAAGACATCACTGTGATGGATCGTAAAGTTAATTTTAGAACCGCTTTTCAATCCATATGTAACGCACATTTGTGTTATATAACTAAATTTATGTGTTCAAAGACCATTTGTTAATAAACTGAGCTTGTCTTTCTAATAGTATTTGAATCTGACACTTATTTACATAATAATATTTGCGCTTTTTTCTCTCCTTGATTCTCTGATTTTGACCACTAAATTACTACTTTGACCTATACTGATGTACTTTTAACCATTCATGCATATTTGCGATATACATGTGGATCTATGATCAGAATTTTCGAAAAATATTGCATCAATATACGATACACGTCAGATGAATTACGTCTTTTTATTTTTGTTAAAGGCTTAACTTTAACTTTATTTATTATTCCCTAGGATTCCGAGTGGAAAATAAAGCTTCAACAACACATCTCCACTTTTTCCTATTTTGTGGTGTCCTCTTCATCTGGGTCCACGATTGCCCATTGTCTCTCATCTCCTCCTCACACGATTTCCTCCATACCATCCTCGAACCGATGACCAACTTGTCGCCTCCCATTTGGATTCCACTCGAACGATGACCTGCATTGCGGGCGATATTATTCGATGGTTTCCTCCACGTATGCCCGATCCATCTCCACTTTCTCCTACATATTTGTTGAGCTGTCGTCTCTTGGTTGGTTTGTTCATCGCCAGAGTTTCTTTTTGCTGATTCTTTCTGGCCAGGTGGCCGGCCATTTGATCTTCAGTATGAAACCGTTGAAGGCAGCTGTTGATAAAAGTCTGCAATGACCCGTATAGAAGAAAAGACTGACTGACTGACTTCACATTTGTGTTGAAAATCTGAATCTTGTTCCTTACGCTGAGTGCGATGTAGATGATTTCCAAACTGGTTTCAGATTGATGAAGGTGTACCTTGCCTTTCCGATTCTGGCTAGCTTTGACATCTTCATCTGTTTTCACAGCCTGTAGTTGAAACCGTGCTGGCTGCCTAGATAAGTGAAGGAAGCAACTTCTGTCAAATCTCTCCCGTTGATAGTGATTGATGCTGGTTGCTGTTGGTTGGTTATCTTCATCACCTCCGTCTCCTATATGTATATATATATATATATATATCACAGTTTTTACATATGGATGTGGAGTGATTGTAAACTACTACAGCAACACTTAAAAATACTGACGTAAACTCTATTTATAATTATGGACATAATAACTACTACTTATAGTTTAATCCTTAACGCCTCAAAAATTTCACTTGAATAAGACAGACGAAAATTATCAATTTTTTAATCACACTTTTTTCTTCTGGTACGTCAGAGTGGGTAAATAATGATTTAATGATTGAAGAGAGAATTTAAAATAATTTCTATGCTAATAAAACATCAGAGTCTAAGGAAAACTTTTATTCCCTAAGAAAAAACATCTACAAAATTAGCATATTTTAATGGAAAATTTGACGACTTTACAACATATAGTGACATTTTCAAATTTCTTAAATCAAGCGCGTTTATTTTTGACAGAAATTCTCTACTCAAATTTTTTTAACTGATGAATTAAGATATTTTTAGTGAGATAAAACATTCTTATTCATTCATTTATTCATTCATTTCTTTCCTTGAAGAAATTTATAAATTTGAGCTGCCATTATTCTGGAGGAGAATGGTTCTTACAGCATAAAAGCTTTGACTGTTGGTGATAAAATCGTGAAAGTCACTCTTTTGGTGTGGCTGTGATGGTCATCTGGATGACCAGAGTAGATTATTGTCCACCTGCTCTCATTGACTCCTAGCACTTCTGTGTCGTATCTTCTCATCAATTTGGCGGTCTGAGCAGCCTTGCTAATCTCAAAGTTTGTGCATGCATATCATGTTCTCCTGCTTATTTTTACTTTCATCGAGAGAAGACACATCATCTGGCTAGCTTCCCCAAAACTTCCACTTTTTATTTTAATTGTTCCCTTGGGTTTCTAGTGGAACATAGGGCTTCAACTGCACCTATCCACTTGTTTCTGTCTTCTGCTGTACTTTTCGTCTGCACCCATGTTAGTCCATACTCTTTCAACTCCTCTTCACACGATCTCCTCCATGTCAACCTTGTACTGACGACCCACTCGCCGCTTCCCTTTCGGGTTCTACTCGAGTAATTACCTGACGCACGATGTCACCCAGCGGCCTCCTCAGCCACGAGTGTCCAATCCATCTCCACTTTCTCCTGCATATTTGTTGGCTGGCGATTGGTTCTTGTTTTGTTTGTTTGTTCCCAGCCATAGTTTCTTGTTGGTGATTCTTTCCGGCCCGCCCGGCCATCTGATCTTCAGTATAGAGCCAGCGAAGACAGTTGTTGGTGAAGGTCTGGTCTGCAACAGGCTGTTGGAAATATTCTTTGTGACCCGCCTACCAAGTTTCTGATCCATATAGAAGAACTGACCGACTTGACGTGTTTGTATTGAAAATCTGACCGAATTTTGTTGTTGACGCTGGCTGAGTGACGAAGACTTCCAGATTGGTTTCAGGTTGATGAATGTGTTTCTCGCCTTCCCCCCGATTCTCGCTCGATTTGACATCCTCGTCCGTTCCGACTTCCTGTAGTTGAGGCAATGCTGCCTAGATGAGTGAGTGAAGTAACCTCTTTCAAATCCCTCCCGTTGTTGGTGATTGGTGCTGGATGTTGCTGTTGTTGTTGGCTGGTTATTTTCATAACCTCCGTCTTGTCTATGTTTACCTGTAGTCCTGTCTTCGCCGGCTGCCTCTTCGACCAGTTTTTCGGTTGGTTTCCGCTTGTAAGTCTTCGATTTTGTGTGACATCAAACATAAGTCATCCGCAAAATCCAGGAAAACCTTTCACTAGCCCACATTATTCTGTCTGTCTGACTCCAATGAAAAATAATTTTCTTCTTTATATTTTTGCTGTACATTTTAGTTTCTGTGGAAACTAGATAGGGTCACTAGGCCCACAGCCAGTTAACTAGGAGAGGTTACTTTAGTAGAACATTACTTCAATACCTAGTAACAACATGAGACCAAATTGTTTTCAGTACATGAATTAATGTAAGAAGTGCACAAAGGCGATAATTTTAATATTTACGCTTCTACGGTAGTTTTGAGTAAGCATTGAGTGTTCTGATTAACGACTGCTCAGCTTCTACCTTTCTTCCACACAACTGCGTTGCATTTCTGATAGGTCATCACATGTACATGTTTTCTTAGCTTGTTTATTTATTTGTGCTTATCAGTGACAAATATAAAATGATTTTTTTACAGAATTTCATCATGAGCTGACATCAGTTAGAGAACCATTGGAAAACCTGGGAGTACTGGACAGCCGTTTCGTCATAGTTTGTGACTGTTCAGCAGTACGCACCAACCGGGATTCGAACCCAGGATTTTCTGGTTACAAGGCGAGCTCGTAGACCAGTAAACCACTGGGACCTGATCCAAATGGCCCATGAATTCTAACTTCTGTCAATGTCTTCGACGAGTATTTGTCCTTACACCCAACCTGCTGCACCCTGCTGGTCACGACTTCTCACTAGAACCGCAGGTAGCTACCTACCTGAATGGGGCAAGTCGCTAGTGAGCATCTCATTGATATTTAGGTGTTGGTTTGTAGGAATTTCATTGATTGGACAGGATTGCATGTCATGATTTCTTCATGAAATTCCTTTGATTTAGCTGAAAAATTAGATTGGACAGTATTATAACATATTACTTTAGCTTGATTAATCCTAATCAATTTCTCAACATTCCTTTCCGTTCATTTTATCATTTTCTATTTGTCTTCACCTTCTGTTGCAAGTTTTTATTTTCAGATGTATTAAGTCAATATCATATGATGACAGTAAACATTATACGGAAATGACAGGGAAAAAAATAACTTAAATCAAATTCATATCATCATTAATAATACGAATTGAAATGCTGTTTGCAGTCAGCCTATCCAGTATAATAGCGATGAAGTTATGAATCATGTTAATTTATTAATAATTCAGATATAAGACTAGAAACAAATAAAATATTTTATGAATAATAAAAAATATAATATGTATAAACTGACCCGAGACAACCAGCATTCAACTTCATCATAGTCCCAAAGTGGTACTTGAGCTGGAAGCATACAGGGAATATCTTCACCGAGAATATGCAGGGCCATTGCAGCAAATTTTGATTCCATAAAGGTAGAACTGCACACAACACTGCGTAACTTTTCTATAATATTTGCTTCATAAAGAACCTTGTAAATGAGAAAACAAGCGATAGATTCATTAGGAAATAGATTAATAGAGACTTGGTAAAAGGAAGTTGATTGTCCAATTTACACTGTTTACAAATTATCATATCACCATGCAAAATGGTCATTATTTTGGTGTTTTATATTAGATATCAATCAGGATGCGTTAATTAATGTGTATGACGTAAACAGTATGCTGTTTCATAACTTTGAGGTGACACATATACGAATATAAAATAATAATATTATACGTATTAATACAACTTATTTCTCTAACACCAAACTATTCACATGAATTTTCTGAGCTCTCTTTGGTGTTTGTGACTTCTTGCCTTGTTCAAGAGGACGAGGCTGAACCTTGACCTGTTAAGAAGTGGGTCATATGATTAGGCCAGCAAATTATAATCTCACAAATGCAGAGTATTGTGAGTTTTGTTGAGATCGAAGAGGAGTTCCGATGGTTCTTTTTCAATTATCTAATATTATGGATGCACACACTTACAGTGGTACCAGCAGTCCACAGAGTATTTATTATTAAGGTTCAAATATCTTTAATTATGTAGGTACACTAAATTAAAACAGGAAGTCAATTTGTGTTGTGCCCAGTATCCTGATGAGGTCAACAAATACTCTTTAAATATAAGAAACTAGGTATTATAATGATTTTCATTTACAGTACACTTGATTATTGCTAAATACAGTGTGAATGAAACTAATTGTGTTAAAGTTCCCCTTTAAAGCTTCATTAAAAAGAGAAATCTATACCATATGATATCAATAACCTTACTAGCATGAATTTCCTAACCTAGACTGCGTACTTTAGTTTGCATAACCTTTTCTGTAATCTTGGGAACCCCTAGGAGTTTGGAGTGATGTACTTCTGTGAACGAACCTGCATCGATATGCTCTTTTGAATTGTCAATTTATTTGACGAAAAAATTTTTCAGTTTTACAGGTTTTAAATCAAAAGGGAACGATATCAGTATTATTATGTCCAGTCGACAGACAATTGTCAATAAGAAAAATAATAATTGATGGACTCGAAATTCACTTAAAGTATATTTGTTGTGATAATTTTCTAAAGGGCTTTATTTAACTACCACAAGTTACTGATCGTGACGAACACAAAGTATTTGTATTTCACAGTTAAAGGTATTTAGATACTGGTTGACTATTTCGTCAGTTTACAATAAAGAATGAGCATGTTTTGCTCAGACTGCTAGGTTACTTGGACTTTTGAACATAAAACTTAAGTGTGATTTGATTAGATGATTTCATTATGAGATGACATCAGTTAGAGAACCACTGGAAAACTGAGAGTAGTGGAAAGTTGTTTCGTTATGTTTAGGAATCATCACAGTACGCACCCACCTCGCTGCGTCCCCTCATGATGAAATTCTTCAACCAATTAAACAAAATCCCCTATAAAACCAATACTTGAAAATTCGTCTGATGCTTACCCGCGACTGGCTCTATCCAGGCACTTACCAGGGGTTCTGTTGGGAAGCCGTAACCAGTAGGGTGCAGCAGGTTGAAGGTGAGGCAGTAACCTATTGAAGAAAACATTGCGAAGTGGTCACGCAATGTCGTGAATTGGTGGGAGTTAGAATCCGTCGGCCGTCCGGTGGGTCGGGTACCAGTGGCTTAATGGTCTACGAGCTCGCTAGCCTTGTAACCAGAAGGTCCTGGATTGGAGCTCCAGTGGTAGGTGCGTACTGATGAAGAGTCACAAACTAGGACGAAACAGCTGTCCAGTACTCCCTGCAGGTTTTTCCAATGGTTCTCTTACTCATGTCGGTTCATGATGAAATCTTCCAACCAATTAAACAAAATCCCTACAAAACCAATACTTAAGAGTGATCTCTTTATTTGATGAAAGTCAATTGTAACCATGTGAAATTGTCAAATATTAACTATTTACAGTTCACTGGTCAGTTAGAGAATAATAGCACTAAACAATTCTCATCAGGTAAGCCTTTATTTTGGTAGAAAAATTGTTAAAGCATTCATTTTCAAAGAATATGTTGGTATTTTACAAGTAAGCTAGTCTAATAAAAAAAATGAGTACTGTTTGAACAGTGCTCAGAGTTAGAGCAAATTTAATCATACATTTACCGTAGACTGAAATGAACATCTTTTACATATAACTAATTGTGTGATACAAACGGCACTCGGTTTATATGTTAATACACTGGTATTCAGTTACCGAGGTTAATAGCTCATCACGAATATACCAAGGTAACAATAGCTGCTTACCTCACTGCACTTCAAGTCGGATTTCAATGTAGCCTCAACAGCAAAATGAAAGGTGACTAAAACACGGGGTTCAAATTGTTTACTGAACATAACTGGAGCTAGACGATTTAACCAATCAGTTGATCCACCTGTATACTGATGTTCACAACAAAATTTTAAAGTATCCGGTTTATTGCATGATGTAGGTGTATGCGCTTCAGGAGTATTGGGTTGACTGTCATTACAAGAACACTTGAAAGCAGCAAATAAATATTTACGAGCAAATTCAACCGGTGAATGTGAGCGTACGAAGGGGACCACAAGATTGAGTGTACCAGAGGCATTTACAGCCGCGGTTAATTCACTTGTTAATAGAGAACACAGGTTGAAATAATGGCAGATTAATTACAGAATATATAAATCATAATTGTTTACGGGATTAAAAAGTAATGTTTACAAATACATATAATTATCAAGATCTAAAAGCAAATCATATCTAAGGAGTGAAATTAACCTCTCAAAATGTTATATGTTTCTTGACGAATTCAGTGTGAAAGATTTTCAGTGATATGGAAACTGCTTCAACACTACGGAGTGCCCCAAACTTTCATCATCTTCATCCAACAGGTGTATATGAAAATTCAGTGTCACCTGATTTATAGCGGAATAACTCAGGGATTCCTTTGAAATGACGACAGGAGTAAGAAAAGGCTGCTTACTATCACCGACGATGTTCCTGATTGTGGTGGACCGGATTATGTGGAACACCGTAATGTGATGAGCGAGAAGATAGGAGTACGCTGGGCAGACAAAATTACTCTAGGAGATCTGGAGTGCGGGAACTATTGATGTCAAATGTCACACAAACTCGAATATCTACAGATGAAAACCAACATGTTGTCAGTAGAAGCAGAAAAAACAAAACTTCGAGTGAAGACACAGAAGCTACAGGTGATAAAGATACCTAAGAATAACCACTCATTATCAAGAGGAGAAATATGAAGGAAGTCACTTCTTTCACTTAGCTAGACAGCACCATTTCAACTACAGGTGGAACGGATAAAGGTATCGAAGGCAAAATCAGAAAAGCAACGAAGACCTTCATCATTCTGAAATCAGTGTGGAGATCTGTTGTGTCTAGAATAAAAGACAAGGTCCGGATTTTAAGCATTACTATCGAGTCAGTCAGTATTCCTATATGGTTCAGAAACTAGGGGTGTTACCAAAATTATTTCGATCAGGCTTCAGACTTTTATCAAGAGCTATCTTCGCCCCATACTGAAAACCATACGGCCTAGCAACAGGAGTTAGCAGAAAGGATCTCTGTCAACGAGCCAACCACGAAGCCACTGCTTAGCAAGTATACTGAAGACTGTGGAGATGAATCGGACAAAACACTGGGGATACCACTGAGTAATAATGCGTACCAGGTCCTCCAATAGAGGACGACGAGTTGAACATTCAACTTTATGAAAGATGTGCTTATGATACTTCTGATTTTATTCTTCTAACTTCACAAAGACGGATCACTTTCATGGGGATCCCTCAAATCACATGGAGTAAACAGATATTATATTCCTATCAGGTGAAGATAGTGAAAAAAGGTATACTCTTTGGGAAACTTTCAGTAGCATTTTGAATGTCTGAGGTGCATTCTCTATCTCGCAAGGTAAGTATTTATGTTATGAATAGTCTACATTGATATTCAGTCTGACTGCAGGGAGTACAGTTGTTAACAGCATAGACTTACTTATTTGCAAGTTACATTAATATTAGAGTGGACTGGTGGCTGGTGAAATATTTGCACGAATACAAATAGTCCGTATGACATAGAACGAGACAGATAATCCTATATACTCCAATATTTCCTTTCGTAGCTGTAAATAGGGGAAGTTGGATATATTTCAGGCTCCATTTTGTTATGTTTGGTTGAAAGAGGACACTCGGTGATTAAAACAAAAAACCCTGAAGGTGGTTTATCGCATCTCATAGAATCTTTCATATCTACTTCGCATTTGTCCAGTCTATAGCTGTCGGTTTTTGAATTAACAATATTAGACTATGTATCCAACAAAATATCAGTGAGTAACCATAGAAGGCAAGGGCCAGGCAACGGATCGTCTTTTGAGATCAAGAGATATTTATAGATTTTATATACATTACTGTCAGCGGAAAAGTAATGTCTTCTGATTGGTTGTTTTCTTGTTGAAGGTTATTCTGTTCTGCTTGTGACCGTTTCTTAGAAAGGTAAGCCATATATCTGAGAATCGTACATGCACACCTTAAGTCTGCTGTGATTGGTTGGTGAGTTCCTCAAGGTTAAGCTTTGTTATTGTTTTTCTCAGGACCCGATTCGGGACGTAACATTGACGTAAATTACTGTCTACAAATTTTGGCTTGCAGCCTTCTCTCATCACAAGTGTACCTATCATTCTTTCTTTGTTCAGGATAGACACAGCTAGTTATATCTCCTCTCCATTATATGTTTGAATCCTTTTCTTACCACCTTTTGTCAAACTCTTCATTACGCTGACAATTCCACAGTGTATCAAATGCACTGGCTTGGAATGAAGCCATGATTATTATTGTCTTCATTCGGATTCTATGTAACTGCCTTCTTTTCACTCTATTACTAGGCACTCATTTCTCTGTTTTCCAAGCTTCGATCTGCTATGCCTCCTAGAATAGTTATTCACTTAAACATGTTGTTTTCAGCATTTTTACTATCCAATATTTCTTCATTATTTGTTGTTACGACAACTTGCACAATTTAAATTCTCCGCAGCATCTCGTTGACAAATAACCGTAATTGATCTGTCCATTATAATCAAGGTTTTTGTATTTCCCAATGAATGAAAAACAAAAACGATATTGTTTTTACTGACGTTTCGCTACTTAATGCTAATAGCTTTATCAAAGTATTATTGCTATAGGTTCACCAGTCTCTCCAATAGTCACCGACCTATTCATGAATAAATTCGAAAATAACATCTTTTCAAGCATACTCACTCTTAAAATATGGTTAAGATATGTGGATGATACTTTTGTAATACTAAAACGAGATCTGCACAGTTCATTCCTGGAGAAAATAAACTGTGTATCTCCCAGAATCCAGTTCACTTCGGAAACAGGATCAGACGTCGGTGAACTACCATTTCTAGACTGCCTAGTTAAGAGAAAGGAAAACGGACATTTTAGTATATCCATATTCAGGAAGAAAACCCACTCCAATAAATATTTAAACTTCAAATCATCACACCCTATCAGCACAAAGATTTTAGTTGTTTCAAGTCTTCTTAGAGGAGCACACTCTCTGATAACGGGTGAGGAAGAAAAAGAAGAAGAAATATCAAACATTACTGAAACTCCCAAGCAAAACAACTACTCAAGGAACTTCATCAACAAAATCAACACAGATATTAAGTTTGGTTGAAAACGCATTCCGAAAACATGGACTTCAACAATCGTCATTCCATATAGAGTAGAGAGGTCAGATTATATCTGAAGACTACTCAATCAGCTCGACATTAGAGTTTTCTGCAAAACATCAGACACACTGTGAAACAACCTTGTCCATATAAAAGACCAAATCCCGAAACATTCTCTATCTAATTTTGTCTATAAAATAAAATACTTGGAATGTTATGCAATCTACATTGGACAAACATCTCGAGAAACCAAAATCAGAAGAAATGGACACCGTAGAGCATCTATTCGACCACCAAGAAACCTGGTTGAACTAGAAAGACTTGAAAAATCATCAGCCATAGGTCTACAAGCTATAGTATCAGGTCACAAAATTGATTTTGATAATATTGAAATAATCCAGAAAAACTTCAGAAATCACAAAGAACGTCTAATATCAGAAGCAGTTCATATCAAGTGAAATCCAAATTCTTTGACCAGGAATGATGGACTAAAATGGAATCTGACCTGGTTCCAACACCTAACTCCCCAATGAAGCGACAAAATCAGCACGAATGTCATGAGCAAGTTCATTATGTAAACACACACTACTTTTATACATTTACACACTGATCAAATCCAACAATCAAACAAAATCCCTACAAAACCAATACTTGAAAATTAATCTGATGCTCACTAATGACTTGCCCTATTTAGGCAGTTAACCTGGAGTTCTAGTGGGAATTCGTGACCAGTAGGGTACAGCAGGTTGAAGATGAGGCTGTAACTCATCGAAGAAGACATTCCAAAGCGGTCGCGCTATATCGTGAATTTGCAGGAGTTAGAATTCACGGTCTTTCCATTGAATCGGGTTCCAGTGGCTCAATGATCTAGAGGTCGCTAGCCTTGTAATCAGAAGGTCCTGGGTTCGAACCCCGCAATGCGGGTGCGTACTGATGAAGAGTCCCAAACTAGCATGAAACAGCTGTCGAGTACTCCCTGCAGGTTTTCCAGTGGTTCTCTAACTGATGTCAGCTCATGATGAAATCCTCCATGCAATCTACACTTGTTTTTGTTATCTCTACCAATTGACCAACTTGAAAACGAAAAATTACCCCAGACTGACGAACGGTGATCAAGTTAGTGGACTTTGTTTTGATACCATAACAGATGTACTATTACCTTTGTTATTTGGTTCAGTGATTGATCTTCATTGTTATCTTGACTTTCAATACGTCCTTTTAACTTGACCCAAGTGGTCTATTTTCTCACCCCTTAACTCTTTGTTATATATACTCTGAGATTTTGTGAATTCCGGTTTAATAATACCAGTTTGATAAAGCTATAAGCAGCATTAAATAGCGAAACGTCAGTAAAATGAAACAATATCGTTCTGTTTTTCATTCATTGGGAAGTATAAGAAAACCTTTATTATAATGAATATCATATACCCAATGCCCAAATTTTTTCAAACTGTTAAAAGTGAACTTGGTTTGGACATATGTAATTGATATGTATTTAAGATTTGTATGCAAATTTACGCCTACGAAAGTTTTAAGAGATCTGATTATAAACACTGCAACTTGCTTACATATTTTTTACGAATTTTGTGAATTTGCTTAGTTTATGGTGCAGACAAGATATGTGAGTACTTCCTTATTATGAAACTGACTGAGCAATGCAGCTAAGCATCACCATTACCAAAGGAGGATTTGCGAATGTTTCATACATTTCTCATTGTTTGCATAAGGCGGAATCAATACTTGGCAAGTGTAGTTATTATGATATGATGTCATTAAAAAAAGTGTATAACAAGGTTGCTAAAGTATTTTTACCAGTGTCGAACTATTTAAATTTGTGCAAGACAAGGGGATCCGGGAAATTCAGTCAGTTACCAGATAAATATAGGATGGTATAAATCTTTTGAAATATTTTAATTTTTGATTTTATTTTGATTAAAGTTTGATGCCACACCGTATTTTCGGTACAAGTATAGAATTTTCAATATGTGATATCGGTAGCCCAAATATTGCAGGCCGACCATAGATATTAGGTGTGCGTCGGCAGATGATCGAACCCCGGACCATGTGCATGGTCGGCGAGAGTCCTAACCACTGGACTTTTAGTTAAATGGAGTAAATAAACGCATGAAGTTATCGCCATCAACCCGTTTTCCCCAGAACATACTCGAGTAAGAGTGAAAGACATTGGTTTTCAGACCTCCACAAAATGTAATATCTTAGCATTTAACTGATGCAGGATAGATTAGTTACCTTTACGGTAATCAGTTGTTGAAGAAGTTCATTCTCAATCTTAATACGGTTGTGTCGTTTACTCAGTTTCATACCGTTTTGACCTAATGATTTTAACTTTGTTCATTTTTACTTCGAGGTAAAGTCTAAGCATAACCTCATGTAACATACATCATCAATTTATTTTCAGCAAGTCTGTGAGTGAATAAATTTGTTACACACAATTCTTTTTCTTTTAAATTCTTAGATTACTTTTCCACTACTTATAAGTAACATGTTTAGCACCAATTTTACTTCTCTAGATGTTTAAGTGCTACTGATTTTTATCTTCACCTTTATTCAGTTATAAAAAGAAATGCATGTTTTGTTCTCACTAGTTTCATCTTTTACTCGTCAACTTGATTCAACTAATTTTCATACATTTGGAAATATTATGGATTTGGTGACAATTCACGATTATCAGTTTCTCGAGACCTCGGGTAGTGAACATATTTGTTTGTTTAAGCTAATTTTGTATTTGCCGTCGGCTGATCATACTAGACAAGGAGATTCGGTCTCTGTTGGCGTGTCAACTCCTAGTATGGACGCTTCAGCGATGTCTGAGGATTAACATGATGTCGTTTGGTGGATGTTGACTAACAGTGGAATCCGGGACGCGCGTTTCGTCTTACTTGAGACTCCGCGGCTGGATGCACCTGCAATCCACAATGAGTGATGTTCCCACTGGAACTCAAATTAAGCGCCAATCGTTTCAAATGCCAAGGGGTTGTCCACTAGGTCACTTGTAGGTTCATCCAACTGACGAGTCCCAAACAGGACAAAATGAGCATCTTTCATTCAACCACTAGTCAACATCCACAGATAAGTACATATTTATTATTCACAATGAAATATCTTGACATTAATAATCTCCATTGAGACATGAAATATCTGAGCGGGCATGAAAATCAGTGTTTCCCGTAGATTATACAACAAGAGACTGCATGTAAATCTGCACACGCAAAAATAAGAGTTCATATTAAAGTTAAAACTGTTGGACACAACTGTAGCCCAACAAAATAAGTGAATAAATAATTGAGAGTAATTATTATTTTAAAACAACTGAAAAACAATCAGCATTTAAAGAATAACAGTTAAGCTGGTTAACTTACGGATTTGTAGACAATACAGCACTAGTTAAACAAGCAAAATATTTAATTACTTCATCCTGATGAAAGGCTAAACAAAATAACCATTCAATTGCATGTTGACGCATCATTTCACTATGACTTCCACTTCCACCGAACAATGCTAAATTCATTAAGCAAACAGCTGTATGACGTAAAGATGGTAGATCATTTGAACGACATGCATACACTAAGCTACGTAGACCACCATGTTCGACCACAGTGTTACACATTGTTTCAGTATGCTTCAATAGAGCTATCAAAGAAATAAACACAAAAATATATATTAGAAATAGTATGTTTTTCAGGTTTATAACAAATTATTTTGAATTTAAGGAATACAACAGTCATAGGTGTCAGGAATGCTATTTGACATAAAGGTGACATTTATCCCTGTTGCAGAATGTAATCTGTAAGTTTTAATTAGGTTATTAAGAGTCATCTAAACCCACCTGACAAACATAACATTTTTTGAAGCATAGTAATAATACTATTTCGAACTCAAAAGACTCAAAAGTAGATTATGTTAATTAAGAAGTCAATCCGGAGGAAGTATGATTGAGATTAATCGGATAAAGCATAACATGCACATCAATAATCATTTTAGTCACCATTTGCAACTGCAAATATAGACGATATGCATTTGCTATCGCTTACTTAATATGATTAACAAATTATTTACCTTGTTTAGTTTATTTAGATTTCTAACACATCCCCACTAATTGTAGCGTCGTAGTCCGTTACTATGGTGGTTTAATGACAAGTTAAATTTTTCACGTTTTTTAAGTGAAATTTCACAATAAAAGTTTTGAAGAATTAGTTTGTAGGGATTCCATTTGTTTCAGGTTAGACCATGGACTGATATCAATTAGGGAACCATTGAAAACCAGGGAGTGCTGGATAGCTGTTTCATTCTAGCTTGAGGCTCATCGACAGCACGCGCTCAGTGAGCAGTTGGATCGGGTCCCAGTGGCTGATTGGCATACGAGCTCGCCGTGTTACCAGTAGGTCGTGGTTTCGAAACCCAGTGGGTGTGTACTGACGATGAGTCCCGAAATAGGACGAGACAGCTGTCCGGTAATTCCTGGCTCTCAGTGGTTCAATGATTGGTACCAATCCGCTGTCTAATCTTAAACAAAATTTTTTCTGACGTACGTGTTATTGCTGGCATTATACTATTGAACTACGTTACATTTGTTGCACTTTTATCAAAAAATATGGCTTGACAGTGATATCGGAGCAGTTTAATCGATTAAAGGGGGCAGTAGGTTCAAAAGTTAAAAGTATATTATCGAATTTTCATGAAATCATGTTGGTATATTTTGGGCTGTTTAATGAAACGCCCTAATTCCCACCGGATAGAGGTGACGCCACTTCAAAAAAGGCATATGCCATGTAATCGCCCGATATAAAGCTTTAAAAGGATAATGACATAAGTTCACTTTTAGAGTAAAGTGAACTGATTTAAATTTTTTCGATGAGTGATAGAATTGCGTCTCCCAGTAACCATCTTTACATATGTATTGATCATTTTCTACTGACTTGGATTTTAAACTTTCTCGTCACATGGTCTACTTTTTATTGGTTGATATATTTGGTCTATATTAACATGTTTGTTAATTGCATATTCGTTTGAGTACCAGGCTTCTAGGAATTCCCTGGAAGAAGTTTTGGTGTTTCCTCTGTCTAAAATTTCAACATTATCCTAATCAAACTGATGTCCATAATTATCTATATGGATAGATATAAAAGAGTATATATCATGTCATTTCACAGCTGATTTGTGATCCTGGATTCTGATTCGAAGTGGACGCCCACTTTGGCCGATGTAATGTCTATTACAGTTCATGCAGTTTATTTTGTAAATAGTATTTATTTTATCTCCTTTTTTCTGTTGGATCTTTCGGTTTGCACAATGTCGAATTAAGTGATTTGCAAATTTCCAATTATTTTAAGGATATAAGTTTTAATCGCGTAAAAAGGGAATATTTGGAGTTAAGAGAAAAAGAAATGCTTTTTCGAATAGTCAGTAACTAAGCACGAACTCAAGTGTAGAAAAGTGCAGTGCAGTGCATATTTCTAACCTCATATAAACTATTCATAATAAAAAGGAGTAAAATTACATTTTGTAAATTTTATTTCATAATTTAGGTAATAGTTTGAATAGCTCGTTTTATCAGTGTCTTAAATAAGAGGTTAGAGAAAAATACACAAGAATGTAATAGAAATATTAGGTGTACGACACGAAAATAAACAAATAGCATGAAACCATATAGTTTGTGAGTATGTGTATATCGAACTTCCAACTATCTCACTGTTTAAAACAGCTAACAGAGATAGGTAAATAAAGAAATGGATTGTGGTTTTAAAGCATCTGATTCAAAGCACAATAAAATCGAAATGAAGCAACTAGCAACCCTCCCCTTTACCTAATATGTTCAAAGTAATCTTGACTAAATATATTTATTATTTATGCCATATACAAAGCATATTCAGGAGCAGCCGATCGTTGATTTCTATTTCTGGCCGTCTTGTGATCTTATTTCACTGAGAGTTTATTATTACTTTCTAAATGTTGTTCACATTCTCTTTCCACATCCCACCCACGAGCCGTTTTTATTCTTCGCTAGATGCTAAATTGAATTGGGTATTTCATGTTTAGGGATTTAGTATTATGTATATATTCGATTGCATCAATAAAGCTACAGGTAATTCAAACCATTTTTATCCATTAATAATCGCTTGTTGCAAGAGACATATAAATGTTTTTAAAAAAATACTTTCGACGATAGCATGTGTATGACGTTGACACGAATAATTTACACAGTAATTATGGAGAAACCAATAGTCATGAAAATATCTTCATAAAAACTTTTCTTATGTCTATTTACTGAACATACCTATATCATCTACACGTATCTTAGCATATATATATATTAATAGTAGTTTGCTTCTAACTTCCTTTAAAAGAAATGATTTGTGCAAGAAATGAAGCTAGAGATAATACTTCGACTTCTAACCTTTAAAGTGCTGTTGTGCACTGATACGTTGTATTCAGTTGTATTAAAACAGCCTCTAAGTATTAGACATTTCTTATTAGTTGGTCTTCTGTTTGACCAAAAACTTTATTCCTGTCCACACTTTCGATAACATGTATAAACGATATACTAAAATAAAACAAACGTTAACTCACGTTCTAAAATTCCCAGATATTCGCGGTAAATATCTACGTCTTCACGATATTCCCAACATTTGCCAATAACATTCTTTAGCAGCTCAGTCACATGTCCACAGGATTGCAACTGATCATCATCATATGGTGGAATTGTATTTGATAGTGATAATTTCGATGATGGAGGTGGTGATATATTTGTTGTTGCTGTTGTAGTTGTATTAGTAGGTGTTGTACTAGCTGACTTTTCATAGTCATTGTCATAGGATGGTGAGGTTCTTCTATACGGTATGCATTCTTGTCTGTTAATAACAGTTTTGTCTATGCGGTCAAATACATTTTTATGTGGAATATCAGAGGGGTATTTTTGAGATGTTAATTTTTCATCTAATACACTAAGTAAATAATTTTCTGACAGGATCTGTAAATTAAAATATAAAATAATTATGCTTTTAAGAAGTTAGAGTTAAAAGGTATCAGCTTATAGGATACTAGAGGATTAGTATGATACTGATATATATATATATATATATATATATATATATATATATAAAGTTTTGACCACTACAACCTCATTAAATGATAAGTGTTAGGGCGAAAACAGAATTATTCTGTTCTACATATCTATCGTATCTAATCTGTCTAATCCGGTTCTTAGCTTTTTTATCCTTCCAGCAGTATAACTAATCCGTTTGATACATTTTGCCAAATAACGCACATAATAATATTACCATAGGGTTTTTAATAGTAAGCAGGAAACATTTTATTGCTTTTTCGTTCACTCTAGAAAAGAAACAATGTATCCTACACAAATTCGCATTTGATTGATTCAGTTTCAATGTAGAACTTTCTACAGAAGGGTGACAGTTCCATTAACCTCACTCTATATTAGTATGCTATAGAAAATTTCAATAAAGCTGTTCTAGTTCAGATGAAACTCTAATGTTTAATAATATGTTTACATACTGGTCATTAGGATGCCTTAGATTTAGGACCTCGGCCTCCCAAGAAATACAGTTTTGTTCACAGGATTTCATCATGAGCTGACATTGGTTAGAGAACCATTGAAAAGCCTGGGAGCACTGGACACCTGCTTCGTTCTAGTTTAGGACTCTTCATCAGTACGCACCCGTCGGGTGGGAAGTCGTGACCAGTAGGGTCCAGCAGGTTGAGTGTGAGGACAAATACTCGCCAAGGACATTGGCTAGCGGTTGCGCTATGTCGTGAATTGGCAGAAGTTAGAATTCACGGGCCATTGGATCAGGTCCCAGTGACTTGATGGTCTACGAGCTCGCCTTGTAGCCGGAAGAACCTGGTTTTGAACCGTGGAGGTGGGTGCGTACTGATGAAGAGTCCCGAACTAGGATGAGTCAGATGTCCAGCACTGCCTGGTTTCAAATGGTTCTCTGACTGATTTCAGCTCATGGCTAAATCCTGTAACCAATCGATAAAATCCCTACAAACCAATACCTGAAATAAAGTTTTTTCAACTTTTAACGTCAAATTACTGTATAATACGGTGAGCAGTACTGACATTTCAGTTGGCTTAGTCATTAAATTGTATTTTTGACTGAGAGATATCCATTATCTTACTTATGACAAGACCAACTGGTGCATGCATTTTCAAGCTGAGGCATTCTGGATGACATTGTTATCAGATATATTACAATACAGAAATCTAATGATGAAGAACGAACGTATTGATGACATAGTCTTATTTGTTAACTTTTGCACAAAACAGTTGCACCATATTGAAGAAAATTTCAAACTATGATAAACACTCATTATAGGAAAACTCAACCAAAACATTTATGGAAAGGAATGATTTATACTCAGTCAGATTTCACTGTAATTAGTGTAGATAATAGATTCTTATACATCTTTGCATTCATCATGCTTTTATTACTTCAAATTTTCCAAAATTTTTGTAAAGCTTATAGCTTGAATATTCATAAAATAAATAACAGTACATAAGTGAAAAATGTATATCTACATACCTGGCTTAACAGTCGGGCTGAACCAATAACGACGCGTTTGTTAGCCTCGTTATACTGATTTAACTTTAAAGGATCCAGATCTGTTTTACCAGAAAATAATTTCAAAGATTTCCCATTCGAACTGTCTTCAGATTCTGTTAATTGTTCACTTGTATCCAGATTATCATTGAGTGACGATGATGCATGCGTATCTTGAGATGAATCAATGATGTGTACTTCTGTAGTAGATGGAATTCGTTTGATTAATCTTGATGCAAGAGTTTCCAGAAGACCATCATGTTTTATGAGATCAGTAGTTAAAATACTCAGATCAGATGGATTCTCACATGCTTGACGCGCTTTAGTTAACAAATATTCACAATTTGCAATAGTCTGGAAACAAACACAGTAAATTTATGCTAATTAGGATGTAGTGATTAAAAACAAATAAGATTTAATTAGCCTAGCGTGGTTTCCAGTCTCGAAAAATTATTTTTATTGTCTGTTGTTTGATTGAAATTGGTACACTTTCCTAAGCTTATTTTTGGGTTTGTAATGAAGTTTCTAGGGCTGGAACTAGTGATAAGGAAAACATTATCTCAGGTGAAAATGTACTGATGACGTAATAACATTTGAAACGGATGTTTCAGTCTTGTTTTTTCCTGTGAAGATAGTTTTGTTCACTCTAAATGTACGTTATCCTAGCATTTCACCAGCCTATAAAACGTTGTATATACCAGCTTGGAATGTCTAGCAAAACTTGTAGGCATCAATCATTGGCTTTAAACTACTCCAGCTGTTTATTAGTAATATAGGTAGTATGCAGTAGGGTCTTAAACCATGGAAACATTCGATATCATTTGACAAGATATTTGAATTAACTGGGTTTAATACATCATCATCAGAAAAGCATGCATGTAATACCAAAGTTAGTCGCGTTCACCATCCATGATTCTAAACCGAATCAATAGTAACACTGGATTCAGACTTCAAATTAAATAATAATAGCTTTATTCTGAAAAATTGTGTTTTTAATAATACAGAACTTTTTGACGAGCTCCATAGCGACGTATTTAACCCTTGTACAGAATCTTCGAATATTACAATAATCGATATAACAGTATCTGAAGGAGTATCGTTCCATCCGACGTTACCTGTTACCTTCAAAGAAAACCCTAGCTGTAGGTAGAAAATTATTTGAAATAGTTCGCGAATATGGGTTGCGACTCACTGTGGTAGTTAGACGATTAGAATAATTTAAAAATCGAGTAAAAACGATGCATTTTGATGAATAGAAAGATTTAGGTAGCCCGATGACTTAAGCTGGCCGCTGTGTATACGGCTGGTTTTCTGTGTGGCTGGATAATGTGTACGAACCAGTCAGTAGATGATAAGATCTAACATGTGGTATCAAACTAAAGTGCATTTAGACGCACAAACAGATCATATTACTTGCCTCAGTGACTGTAGTTTACAACTAATCGAGAAATTTCAATCGATACTTAGGACTAGACAGCTATTATCTAGTGAAAGCCTTTTTTCTTGAAATTGATGTTCTAATTTATTAATGAAGGTGAACATTTAAAGTAAAATAAAATGTATACAAACCCACAGTACACTTTTATTTACACAAGGCAAACGAATGATGGTAGTAGTGAACATAAACTAATATTTATTTGTCTGTTAAATGCAAATTATTGTTTATTATATAGGTCACAAGAAAATAAAGTATTTATTTATTCATTCAGTAAATATATCCATCTAAACATGTAATCCCATAGATTATATGTGCTTTTAATAAAGTGAACTTGCTATATGAAAAAAACTGAAATGAATATCATAGATTGATATAATCGTGAAATAGGTGATCATTAATTTCAATATAATGATTTCCTCCTTCCTTCAGTCTAATTAGATATTTTACTATCTTTTCTTAAATGCTTTCGAGATCAAAAATGTAGTCTGCTTTCACTGCTTTCATTAGTCTTTTGTTTCTTCAGAGTGACTCTGAAAGTTCCAATGACTGTTGAGAAAAATAAGGAGAAATAGAAGAAATTTTGACAAAAATACTTCCTTATTGTGATTTACTTCAATTTAGATAGAGACTGAATGTATTCATAGCCTCCTGAAATTATCGAGAAATAGGTTTCCACTCTGTTTTAGTAAAAACCCCATTTGTGAACACTGACTACTGATTGGTTGTAGTTTTCTTCAGGTGGCCCTTATATTACTGCATATTCAAACAATTATCTTACATACAGTGAAAGTCAAAGGCATAAAGGATTGAAGCACACACACACACACATTACAGTCCGACTGTTTTAGTCCTCTTTCGTTTAACTCTATATAAGGTTTAAAATTTTTTGACTTTGATTACTCGGTAACATAACTCCCTGAAGAAAAGCACAATCAGCGGGTGATTTTTTGTGTTCCTTTGGGTTCCGAGTGCAATATAGAGCTTCAAGCTTTATGCTTTGAAGTTTCAGTAGCCATGGTGTTTCTTAAGGAGTGGGGTTGCTAGCCTCCTTCTAAGTCTTCCATCTTTTCCTGGCTTACTACCAGTTATTAAACTGGGCCAGGTTTAAAAGTTTGTCATCCCGAACTATAAGCGTGGTTGGAGAGTACTGTAATCCTGAGCCACTGGCCATTGTTCAGAGTCCACAAATAGATTATGTGATTTATATTTTTTTAAAGTGTAAACTTCTTTTACAATTATTTCAGAAAGCCATGAATACACTCACCATCTGCAGCCCAACCGTCGTACAAAGTCTAAAGTATATATATCTCAGGTGTCATGTGTATTATTTATGTATGATAGGTGAGATCTCCCATCACATTAAAGAGAGCAAATTTCATTAAAATTGCCTAGCTGGGATCACCATACTCCTCTTGTATTTTCTTTGATTTTAGACAGAAGTGAAACGGCAGTGAAAACTATTTTCAGTATATGAATTTTTACAATCTTTCATTTTCTGATCACTATGATTTTTTTCACCTGTCTATCATTTCTTTATGATGTTAAGAAACCATTCTGTGTTAGATTCCCTAATATCTATATTGTACTAAATTTGTGTTGAAATACTATTCCTAACAATGAGTAAGTTTTTCTTTAAGTTGAAAATCAAAAATATCAGTAATTGGGATGATGAAATCTATTCCTACTAAAATGTCATATTTTATCGATTCAATATATGGATTCACACATGAATCTGTGTAATTTGATGGACTTGAATAAATTCGCACATGTAGGGTTTTACACTTTGTTGTTGTGCCTGATTCCATATTTCTATTTAAACTACAAATTTAAAGATTTACAAATGTGTGTATGCCTGGGCGCTTATTGGTTATGCACCAATATGTCCAGTTAGGAATTGTTTCTGCATAATGCCAAGAAAATTTTTACACGTGTATTAATAAATATAGACTGAACGTGACATAACTATACTTGATGATGTGAAGATTTCTATCAGAATCTAGATTTTTATAAAACACAACATAATCGAGCAAAGAATTTTCTTTTCAATAAACTCCTCTTCTGGCTCTACAATTATATACATGTTTATATACACAGAATATTCAAGGTTGGTAGTTAATAACAATATTGATCTTGCTTTACAAATCGATATTATTTAAAAAACACTAATATTGTTATTAACTACCAACCTTGAATATTCTGTGTATATAAACATGTATATAATTGTAGAGCCAGAAGAGGAATTTATTGAAAAGAATATTCTTTGCTTGATTATGTTGTGTTTTATAAATATCTGAATGAATATTTTTGCTATATCAAGATTTTTACCGACAAAAAAACTATTGATATTTGTTGGGATTCTGTTCTTTCAATTAAGTCGGCTGATCTAATTTCGAAGCAGGATATATATTACTGATCAGTGTGAACAGCTGAACACTGTACTGGACAGTAGTTGCTTTTAGCTGTCGTATTGTCGTACATGACATGAGAAAAAGTGTTGACTCCACTGAAATGACAATCCAAGTAATCATAAGTTGTGACGCTTTCAACACAATGCTTCACTAATTTTTAACTCTGAAGCAGATTTTACATGAGTAGTAATTTCTTATGATGACCAGCTGTCACAAGAATGCAGCCTCTGGTGCTCTTTTTTACTTCACAGGCGACGCTTCAAGTCAAATTCCTCGTGGTAGTTTTATTATTTTATTTATTTTTTATTTTTGATTTACAGCTTGATTCCACACTGTATTTTTGGTACAAGTATGGAATTTTCAGCATGGATATCGGTAGCCCAAATTTTGCAGGCCGACCACGGATATCAGGTGTGCGCCGGCGTGGGCTCGAACCCCGGACCATGTGCATGGTCGGCGAGAGTCCTAACCACTGTGCCACCGACGCACATTGCAAAATGGTGAGAAATCACCCTGTGTGGAAGGAAAACACACAATAACCAATCTTCACTGTCCAAAATTCCAAACCTTTTGGTCACTGATATCTTTAAAACATCTTTGAAGGAATTATAGTGTCAGTTTGAAATAGGCCAAAAATTGGTTATATTACAGAAATGAGGCTATCAGTTTCTTTTAACGTATAGGCTTAAGTGTTGCTATTAGTTACCCTAGTAATTCTTTTTTATCAGATACTATAACTACATCTGAAATCATAAATAACAGTTGACAACAACTAACACCTATCAGAAAAGAGGTGACTATAGGAGCTCAATAGCCTAATGGCCTTTGCATTTTCATTTACAGAAATAGATTTGAAATTTGAGTCTAAGTGGATACATCATGAACCCATGCGGCTCAAGTACATTGATGTTATTAATTAGTCTCAAGTAAGATGAAATTTTAATCCTATACTTCACTGAAAAACCGCACCAAGAAAACAATTTACACTATAGAATCTGATACAGTTATGTTGACCCCGTCGTGAAAACTGTATGTTATACCTATAACACAGCAAGAGAGTATGGTTTACCTGAAAAAGTTATAATCTTAACTATGGACAAACCACAACTAAATAGTAGAACAAGTCAATGATAACACCTAAAACTAATTTCATACATTTATTCCCCTTAATGAATTTGAACAAAGCAAGAACAACAGTTTTAGCAGAATAAAATGGTACCATCTTTTATTTCGTTGCCTTCTCGTCAGCTGCTTACATGGCAAAGACATTATTAAATATACCTACAACAACAATTTTAACATACTTGCACAGAGTTCATTTGAAACAAAAATCAATCGATCAATATACGCATATACTAAAAATATATACATATATAAATATGCAATATTAAACACTATTCCGAACAATAATAATCATACACAATGGAAACTTTTAGCATTTCGCATTCGGAAGAAAGAGAGGTGAAATTATCCAGTTACCAGGGCAAAGAAAGACTGATAACCGCTTCTTTCTGGACGCATAAATCAGGTTTCAAGCGCTTGATGGCAATGGCTTCAGCAGGAGAATTGAGCTCTTTTGCCTACTGATAATTTTGAACGACTTTTCGACGTCCACCTCATGGCTCGTGTCGAGGAGATGCCTGGTGATGGCACTGTTTAAGGCATTTGTTCCCTTTAGACGTAAGCTTTTTGGTACATGTTCAGAAAATCGTGGATATGCCTTTATTTCTGTCCTTCCAATGTAAATGCTCCCGCAGATACATGTAAATTTGTATACAGAGTTGGAGGTAATATGAGAAGGATATCTATCGATTTTTGATTGCACCAAAGAGCAAGTTGTTCGATAGACGGGAACGAGCTTAGCTGCAGGATAGGCTATGGCTAGTGATGTACTCAGCCTTCTGTTGATCATCGTTGCAATATTTTCACCTTTATAATCAAGCTGAACGTAGACGGGTTTTTTTCCACTGTGATTTGATTTACATTTGTGACTTCAGATCTTCCATACTTGTTGATGAACCTTTGAAGATACCCATTTCTCTTCAATATATTTTCAAGGAACTCAAACTCCTCCTCTAGTTTCTCTATAGAGCATATTCTCCTCGCTTTATAGTACAAAGTCTTGACTAGACCACGTTTAAATCTATGTGCACAAAAGCTATTAAAACTAACTCAGACGAAGGGAGAGATTGAGAGTTCAATCTTTGTTCGTCGTATAGATACCAATAATTCAGTATCTGATATATATATATATATATATATATATATATATGAATTTTTACTGTTTTCACAAACAAGGAAAGGAATGAGCTCATAAAAACATGCTTTAAGGTCATATAGTGTTAAGAATACTACCCATTAAAAATTGTCACAGTTGATGACGTAATTGACGAACAAGAAACAAACTGAGTTATGATTCTAGGAAGTTGTACTTATATATATATCCCATTGACAAAGGCTGGTTTAGTGATGTGTGAGTTATATAAATTTTTCTTTTAGACGAAACAGCCTCCATATGTCACTTTAAAGTCTTATTTACAAAAACAGTTTTATTACCACACTTATCCTTTAATTTTGAAAAAGTATCAGTACCACTAGATTATTTTTACAAAAGGTGTTGAAAACACTATAAATGACAGACTATATAGGTCACTAGACAGTCAAGTAAATAAATAAGAGTGGGATTCAGTTCAAATGTAATAAAGGCAATGTGAATAGCATTTCTTTTTCATTGCTTTATTTATTTGTTTAATTGAAATGCCAATTACTGTAAGAACTGAATAAAAACAGTATAGGCCTTTGAGGTTCCTACTGCCATATAATAGGGACCTTATACTCAAAAATATAATTTTTAGCAGGTAAAAACTAGCAAAAGAAATCAGGAAACAAGTTGAATTGAATTCGCAAAACCTTTTCACCCACTATTTAAATTCTGCTAATATTGATTTTTTCATTCCAGTTCGTTATTTTTCAGTCTTCGATGAAGAGATGAATGCATTAATTCGCAAAAAATTAATATTTATTAGTTTACATGACGCTCAGGAGAATGAGTAAAACGACAAAAATCTAGTCAATCCCCATAGGTCAAGCAGGCGTTAATGAAAGGACCGTTATTGATATAAGGATAAAACTTGGCCACTATGGTAGAGTATACTTTCATTGTGGATAACATTTTTTGATAAAATCACAGTGTTATACAAGAAAGTTATGGGAGTACCTTGATATGAATGATTATGAGCAATAATTTGTGTTTGAAACGTCATCAGTAAATATTACCGTATAACACTGTGAAACTTTATCAAAATAAAATCTTACCCATAATGTATTACTTATTATTTTATTTTATTCCTTTACGTTCCCATTGGAACATACAGCTTCAAGTCAGAGCTTTGAAGTTTCGCCAGCAGTGGTAATTATTTTTACAGGATTCGGTTGCTAGCCTATTGCCCAACCATCCCTCTTTACCAGTCTTATTACTGACTTAGCTGGGTAAAGGAGTGAGTCGGCCTGGGATGGAACCCCGAATCACCTGCGTGGTTGGTGAGCATTCTACAGCTGTGCCACCAACGCACATTTATCCATAATGAAAAGACAGTTATTTTGTAACCGTATACTTATGCTTGATTAGCTAATCGCTTCATATTTTAACACTTAGAAGTGGTACTTAACTAGTAGTAAATAAAGGTTTGTTAGTTATTTGCAGCCTATTGTGTGAAAGTTTTTATGTATATATGTGGCTTGTAAATTACGACTTTATATATATATATAATTACACCAAGGCTGATAGATGATTTGTTTTGATTTGCGGAAGAATTCGGGTTATCTGACTTGTATGAAATACCATACAACAAAATACATTAAATTTATTGTATTTCGAAACTGATTTCTGTTTGAAAGAAAAAGTTATATGAAAAGTACTAGAATACATCAACACAGCATTAGGAGTGGAAGAAAACATTTGATTCGAATTATTGTTCTCAAAGATTTGGCAGACTGATTGACTTGTAATGACACTTTTTATTCTGAAGGTTTCAACTTATACGATATTTCAAAATAACTCTCTATAGTTTACATTACTTTGGTCATACAATAAACATTGAAATTAATTTTACATAAGAGCTTAGAACCTAGTGTGGAAACTTAATGAAATCACAAATTACACCACAATGTATAGCTTAATACAAGTTTGTATATAGAGCAAATTTAAATTGTCATTGTGAATTCATCCACATAATTAGAACAGTGCGGTATGGACTTTAATTATACTGATAAGAATATTAACTTAAAACATTTTTTAATCCAATAATTAAAAAAATGGTCAGATTTGATAAGAAATTGGATGTTTACAGTTGGATTCAGATTGTTTTTTTTTTGACATTTTCAACCTTACACTAAGTTAGTCTCAATACAAAATTCGAAGGAAAACTTTTGTGTCTGAACAATAAGTGTGGATGAACACGTTAAACTAAGTAAATAATTCTGTGTGTTCATTTACGCATCATACAGATATTTTTTGTCAGTCATCATACTCATATGTGCGCATGAATACCAGTTAAACTGTGTCAACGAACTTGAGTAGGAGTGAACGCTATGTTAAATTCCCTCATTTAAAATGCATCCGTTGAAAATGAATGACGCAGATCAAACGCTATTATTATTCCCTTGGGTTCCGAGTGGAAAATATGGCCTCAAGAACACATCTCCATTCTGCTCTATTTTCTGCTGTCCTTTTCAACTGAGTCCACGATTACCCATAATCTCTCATCTCCTTCTCATACGATCTGCTTCATGTCATCCTCGTACCAATGCCCCATACGTCGTTTCCTATTGGGATTCCACTCGAGCGATGTCCTACATTGCGCGCGATGTCGTTCGACAGCCTCCTCAACGTATGCCCTATCCATATCCATTTTCTCTTACATATTTGTCGAGCAATCGGCTCTTGGTTGGTTTGTTCCCAGCCAGAGTTTCTTGATACAAATTATTTCTGACCCGCCATTTGATCTTCAGTATGCAGTCAGACAAGTAGGCAGCTGTTGACAAAAGTTTGTAACCTGTTGGAAATTATTTTCGTGCCGCTGACAATTGTGTTGAAAATCCGAATCTTGTTCTTCATGCTGAGGAGTGCAGAAGATTTCCAAAATGGCTTCGAGTTGATGAAGGTGTATCTTGCCTTTCTTATTCTGGCCTGCTTCGACATCTTTATCCGTTTCGACTGCTCATGGTTGAAACTGTGAAGGAAGTAACCTTAGTTAAATCTCTCCCGTTGATGATGATTGGTGCTGGTTGTTGTTGTTGCGGTTGGTTGGTCATCTTATTCATCTATGTCTTCTCTATATTCACCTGTAGTCCTGTCTTCTCTGCCGGCCTCATCGGCCAGTTTGTTAACTGAAGTCTGCAACCTGTTGGAAATCCATTTCATGACGCGCCGAGATTAAATTTAGACATGATAGATTTCATTATCATTATTATAAGCATTGCTATAAAATCATATTAAATACTTAATAATTAAATCCTTTATTTACCTTATACTCTTCCTTCAATCGGTTCATATCTAGCAGCTTTTTAATTTCATCCTTAACTACTCCTTGGTTAGACAGTGTAGCATCTTCTTCCATTGGTGTTGTTATTGTATCATCTAAATTATCAAATAACTGTGTTGTTGACAATAATGACGGTGATAATGATATCAATCGTAATTTCTCCATTTCTGATATCATTTTTTGTTCAATTACGTGAAAATTACTATTTTCATGAGTATTACCATCATTCTCATTGAAATTATTATTATTATTCATGCATGCATCATACATATTACTTAGAATACTTGATGAAGACGATGATGATGTTAATTCCTTGATACACTCTTTTTTTACAGCTTTATTACCAAGAATTAATGTATCATGATTAATAAGATCAGATTGATGATCAGTTGATTTCATAATGAATTTAGAAGTTGATGATGATATTGACTGATTTTTACCAGATGTTGAATGATGACGGCGATGATGATGCTCAACAGAAACATGATGAGTTGAATCAATGTTATAGTCTTTTTGTTGTTGTTGTTTCTCTTGATACTGTTGTAGTAAATGTGAGTTTTCAATATTTTGAAAGGGAGAAATTGGTGTAGACTGTGAACGATTTGTACCATCTTTACGTACTACAGAAAGTCCTGGTGATATATTATGCTCTTGAAAATGCACTCGATGCACTTGAACTCTTGATGTGGCTAAAACAATAAGAAGAAGACACTGTAATAATTACAAACAAATGACCAAAGTCTCGAATAAGTAGTATTTATTTCATTCATTTATAAAATCATAATCGTATTTTCAAGTATTTGTTTTGTAGAGATTTTGTTTGATTGTATGGGACTCTTCAGCAGTACGCACCCACCGCCACGGTTCAATCCCAGGACTTTCTGGTTACAAGGCGAGCTCGTAGACCATTGAGCTACTGGGACCCGATCCAATGGATGGCGCATGAATTCTAACTTCTGCCAGTTCACGACATAGCGCGACCATTTCGCAATGTCTTCTTCGATGAGTTACTGCCTTACCTTCAACCTGCTGTACCCTACTGGTCACGGCTTCCCGATGGTTTCATACTTCTGAAGAGTCCCAAACTAGAACGAAACAGCTGTCCAGTACTCCCAGGTTTTCCAGTGGTTCTCTAACTGATGTCAGCTCATGATTAAATCATCCATATAATCGTATTTGTTATAGCACTTCAAGATTAAGCAACTATCCACACTAGTATTAAAGGAAGAAACAAGTTGTCGAGCACACAAAAACATTGACTAGGTTTTTGGCGACGATGAGCATATGTTTGCTTTTATTAAACTGTTGATAAAACAGACATGCTTAGTGATAGAATAACAACCCTGATACACTTACAGAAAAAGAATGTATATTCAACTACAGTTATGTTTGAAAGCATGTTTTGTTCATCAGGATGACATTTTTTGGTTGACATTTTATGCATATATAATAAACAAAGAAACAACTGATCGAACTTATTCTGCGGTTTTGTTATTTATTCATTTGGCAACTTTGTTTGAAACTAGTACATTTCCTGGTATCGATGAACTGAATTTTAAACAGTTGTTGAATTACGTTGATTCCACCAACTGTATACTAAATGTTTCGTCATCCTTATATGAATTTAATATGCAACATAGTTAAAATAAATAATTTACTATAATAACAGCAAGCATGATACATGAAAATATTATAAATGAAATTTTTGCTAAGTTGTTACAATTTTCACAATAAAACATTAATTTAATACAATGCCAAATGCACTACATACGTATTATTTAGTTGAGTACTTCAATGTAAGGTATGATAAAACATCATAGGTGAAGGTACAATTGTAATAAAATGATTACAAAATAGACTAAACATACGAATTTATTTGATTTTAGGAACAAATGTTCTTTGATTTAAAAGCTGAAATCAAAACATTTAATTTTGTAGCCTTATAATTTAAATTACGAAGAAATTCCTAAAACATCTTTCATTAGCTGACATCATTTATGAACTTTATACTGTGTGTTAACTATTATTAACCATGCTTAACTGCTTTAAAATCTTCAAAGATATCGAAGACACCTAACTACATGGACTGGTGTACTTTTATTTTGCAAGAATTTCTTTCAATTAAATTAGCCTGAAATAATCAAAGTCCTAGTCTCTGGGCTAGTGATAACATCTTAACCCACAAATCTAAGGGAGACGCATGAACCATCGGGTAAGAAGTAGGTGTTACATGATTGGAAATACTATCTAGATCCTCAAGCCAAAACAGGTCAGATGACATGTTGAATGAAACTGGACTTCTTAAACCACTTAATTACAGCTCTTTCGACATTTCAGAGGGATGTATTTTAATTTACGATAAAAAATGCGTTTATTTACCCGAACCAACTGAGAGTTTTTCTGACTTTCGCACTTCATAATTGCGAAGTGACCTGTCTGTTCCGCAGCCAGGAGTTGAGGCTTCCACAGCTTCTGGTAAATCCCAATAAACTCTTGAATGCTCTGAAACATTTCCCGATGTGTCACTAAAAATATTATTAATGAACACTTATAAGACTGCAAACTCCGCGTTACCTTTCGTCAGTTGGTAATTTTCCACCGAGAAAAAAGCTTGCATCACTAGTTGAACGCTTCCAACTGGAGTTTTCATCTTCTGCTGATAGATATTTTGAGTAATCAAAGATTTGTTCACGAAATTCGTTGTTTCGTGATGTAGTGCTTTGTGAGTTCATTCTGAATCGAAAGTGAATCATGAAGAGGAGGTCGTATTAGGAAAACGGAATGTAGAGGCTTATGGATATCAGTAATTTCAAAGCTTTTTCAAATGACATTATATTAATATTCCCAGTAGTATTATTATCGATAGATAAAACAAAAAGGGACAACTTCCATGTTAAATTTAACCAGTTCTAGCCACTTTTACCTACTGAAGCCAAAACAAATAAACTACCATTTTAAGAGCACTAGCGAAATCAATAAGCTGAGACGAAAATCTGAGGGTGTGAAGGGAACTACCCTCCATACACTTCATGTGCTAACCGTCTCATACTATTATAGTTATGTATCGTTGCTTGTGGAAATGTTTTACATGCATCTTTTAATCAATAAAACATCAGAAGGAAATGCCTACCTCTTTATAGTACTTTACGTGTGAGAAACTTGCTGTATTACCTTTGTATAGAAAAGCCACAAAAGATTTCATGCGCATGCGATCACGTATTTTGGATGCGTAGTGATCTTCAAAGATCTTTTCCCAATTGGCAGTCTTATTCACAAACAGTTAAACTATTTATTCTTCTGATTTTAAAATTTGTTACCAAGTCTTGTTAGTTACCGTGCTATCGCAAAATAAAATTTGGTTATGCACTTAAAAGTAAGTTCATCTTTACACCGTATGGAAGTATATACTACCTATGCAATGTAATACAACAGGCAACTCACAACACTTTTATGACTAAGGAAGAATCAGTGCCTTTAAGATAGTTATACTAAGTATGTAAGTATGTGCGTAGTGATAGCTGAAATACGTAAAAAGAATACTTGGCTACGTGAAGCAATTACAAGCCTTTTATTTTATGATTCTATAACAGAGTCTCAGATTTACACTTAGAAAAAAGGTGATATTTAAAAAATTTCAAACGACCAAGATTTTAAACAAATTTATATTTAAAGAAGCTTTCAATCTTCTTGACCTCTGAATCATGCATAGCGAAAGTCAAAGTAAGCAGTCAGACGTCTCATTGCACATGAGAGAAGAGAATACAGAAAGTTATTAAAAACAGTCGGAAAGGCTGAGTAATATATTTCATTTACGTTAAAAGTACAGTTAACAAAATAACATATATCCATGCTCATGCATTTTGAATTGTACAATATATGAAAATATCACCTGAATTATGAGGCTAGAAGACATTCTGAGATATGCTGTAAGTCATTATGTTCTGTACTTGTTAATATTCAAAATGCCGGCTTTATCCTATTAAAAAGGCTTGTAATCTATCAAACAGCACGCTAAGTCATATTTAAATACCCAAAATACTTTGAAGTTTGCATTACCGAGGTCGAAGTTGAAGAAATCCTTTGGTAGAACCCCTTCCGGAATCACCGGTATTACTTTCCCTTCTCTACTTGCTTTTCTTTTGAAGTCCAAATTTCATAATTGCGTTCAAACAGCCACCCTCTGACTCAAAATGACAGTCATATTCGGAGGAGTCCAAAATAAAGGCCGCGTTGTCAATAATTAGAGTGACTAATTCATCATATGAGAGACAACAAATCAGGCTGCATTTCTTCGTACCATACGTTGGACTGAGAAGGAATGTAATCATAAGGAATGATAATGGATTTTTCTTCTCATCAGGTTGAAACCACTTATATGATAAGAGAACACAGAAGTACATAAAAGTCAAGGGCGAACTATGTCGGTTTTGAGACATTATTTCTCGTAGAACCAACCTCAGAGCTGATGACCTGATTCAGAGAAGATCAAGACAAACATAGGTGCTTAATAAAAAAGGAATGTAACAACATTCAAGTCATCAAATGTTAAGCTAGACCCTCCACCTGGATCCGGAATCGCATATAAGGTTCACACATCAAGTATTAGATTGTTCAATAATATTGTTCTTTGCAAGCTTTTAAATCAAATAAACCTGTCTTTTGACCTAATTAAAAGCTAGGCAGGAATAGATAACAGTGGTACTTAGGCAAAGGTACTTATGCAATCAGTAATATCTGTTTGATAGTATGGATCCTATAGGTGTACATGCTCGCTCCCTTGGATATTAATAAATAGAAAATTCATAGAAATATCACTTAAGCACGAAAAAAGTGCTCCTTGAAATTAAACTCTGAAACTCATTTTGGTTAATTCAGCGCCATTTAGAAACAAAAGTCTTGAAAACTTTGAAAGCAAACTGACTAGAAACCAAGTATTTTTTTATTGCGCTAAGCAAACGTATATAAAGACTGTTTTAACGGACAAGAAGCTAAGAAGACTTCATTCAGCTGAACCACTTTTCGCATCAAACCAGCAGTGTGATTTCGGAAAACTAACCTTCATGATGAATGAATTCAAAAGCTCAGTTAGATATAACTATACTACAAATGCTTCCACATTCCTGTGTAGTTGTAGTGAACGTCAACACCCTAAGCCTCGAAACTGGCAATATACATCGCCATTAAAATTGTGGTTCACTAAATGTATTAACCCAAAAAGCACGGATTTTCACATTGTAAGCTGACTGAAATTAGCTCTTCAAAAATACTTAAACCCTGAAGTACTGAACATTAACAATCAACCTATGTGAATGCTACATATGAGTCCCAGTCAACTGAAATGCATTCTCATAATTCATACAGTGATGTGAGGATACATTATACTTACCTCAACTCATTGAATAAATGGTAATAATACCCCCATATAAGAGGAATAGTCTGCAGATGATTGGACGCCCAGAAACTCCACACACTTTTATTTCCGCCACCTAAAAGTTGATATATAGTTGTTCACTGTTTCAATGGTGAGTTACTACTGAGCAACTTAAGAAAGTCAGACAACGGTGGATTGAGTTTGATACTGAAGAGTATTTTCCTTCATTTCTTGTTATCAAAAATGATAATTCTGATGTAAGAGAACGTAAATAACGAGAGAAGAGCACTGTAAGGAGGATTTCCACCAAATATTATGTGGCCAAGCTAGTGTGGATTAAGGAAAGTGGACATATGAAATTTATATGGGATATTAAGTTCAGGCGAAAGGTAATATAGCTGTGTACATGCAAAGTAATTTAAGACATTTTAATTTTCGGTGTGCATGTTTTTTCCTGTTATTGTTCTCGGTATGTAGAAGTACGCATCCTCTCTGAAATCAGTAACCCTTACTTAAGTTAGTGAAGTAACTTTCAGTAATGTCGGCCTGAAATTTCAATACATTTTTTATGTGAGTTGAAATATGTAATAAGGGGATCTTAACTTCGCCGAGCTAGTTGAAATTAAACCTCCTAATATATACACATTTACACTTGCTATGATAATGACTACCTGTTTTTCTGTGACTTTTATGTTGGTCACTGTGTTTCAGACACTCACTTGTAAAATTTGGTGCTAAAGACCCCATTTCAAGTCCAGATATTCGTGTTTTTATTTAGTAACTTTGATAGAATGTAGAAAACTTTAACTCAGACGTATGTTGATTGTGGAATATGAAATTAAGTTAATTTAACGCTGGATGTTCTTAATTAGATTATCTGTGGTTCGCACGTAGCTATTAAGTAATAGGCTTTATGCTGTTATTAGATTTCCGAAGTCATATTACAGTGATTGCCAATGAACCGAGCGAAAATCATAGTTGTAGGAGTGAATGAGAACTGGCCAAAATACAGGTCTTAATTCAAATACGTAGGAGTGGTTTCGCAGTCTTCAATTTTTCCGTATCGTGATCAAAACGGGTGTCTGAAAACAGAAATCCAGAATTTTAGGAGACATGTTAAATACGTAGATGACTGAAATTTTAAACACTCCCTTTGTCAATGTAGCTGAAGGTTTCAAAGATCAATTCATGGTTGTTTGCTCAAGCCCAACTCTATATTTAGGCGAGAGTCACCGATACTGCAGTCATCGTTTCATCGTTCACTGTTCGTTGGAGGACAAAGAAAAACTATGACAAGTATTATTGTGATTTATTGTTATGACATTTATTCTTAGAATTTGTGTACAATAACATAATGGTTGGCTCTGTATTGGTGAGAGAATAAAAAGCTCTTGAGTCACCAATTTGTGTTCTTGTATTTTGCGTTGGTTATTGAGCATAGTTCCCGAAAGTCTTCCAAGGATAGAGTGAAGTCTAGTGTGGTTAGACCTGGATATTGACACTAACTGTATATTAAAATTACGGCGATTGTGATCTTCTGTATTGTTTGCAGTCGTTGAGTCATACGGTTAGGAACCATAAGAGAAGATTTACTAGGGATGTATTTCGTTACTGGTACCTCATTTAACTGCCAAAATATACATATATATATAGACGAGGTCGTTTTTTTAGCAGAAAACTAATTTCCATTTCCTTATCGAGGGCTTGTGAAACATCGAAGCAGACAATTATTTGTCTTCATGAGGGTTCGCTAAAGCTATTTGAGGTCAAGGTGACTAGGCATTTACGGTACGGATATCTTGGGAAATTTAGTTGCTTACATTATGTGAATGTTAGCGAACTCACTAATCTGTTGTTGCTGAGGAGAAATGAAGTCATTTGTCTTTTCGTAACCTAAGTCTAGGTTACGCAGCCAGTTTAGCCCTTAGCCTGGCGAGTCTCGTTGTTCTTGCCTGTCTCCAAAGATCGTCATCAACTGCCGGAATTAAAATAATATGCTTGTTCTTTTTCAATAACATGTTTAGAAGGCTGGTATATAACGAATAATAGTCGCCACTTTCCTGTTCCTTGGAATGCTGATTGTCTGCGTTGCTTTTCCACTGACCCTGCAGGTGAAGATGAGCAAATTATTCAAGAAAGATAAATTATCCAGAGACTTCCTGGCACAAAACACCTTTTGCCCCTCATATGATGTTAGATTATATTGGTAACTATTTTTGTTTGTCACCGTCCCTAACCAAGTTTTCAGGTATGACTCCTTATAGGCTCCTCCCAGTTTGAATTCTCTCTGCTGTGACACAGTGGGTAAGACTAAGGCCTAAGTTATCAATTTCTTAACTACGCGATGAAAGTCTATTGTCCAGGCTGTACTGTTTGAGTGGCTGTTACCTGGAGAACCTGGTCCTTTGCCGGACGCATATGACCTGATATCGGAAATCCCAGCCTCTCAATAAGGCTAACGAGGCTTTTTCCGTCTGACTTCCTACCAGCTGTTCATCACTATCAGAACACCTTGCATCTACAGTTTGTCGTGTTGTACGACTTCGAGCTCAATTTCTGGTTTCCTTAGACTAGAAATAACGCTTAAGATTAAATTGGGACCACATATGTTGTTAATAATTAATAATAATGAAGTATTTCACATAAATTTACAAATTAACATGAAAATGCGTGCTTTTTTTACAGGCACGATCAAGTATGATATAGTCTCAAATTGTAGATTGTCTACAAGTTAATAATATTTCAACAGCTAAATACTTGATATATATATTATTATTATTATTGTATCCTTTAGTTCCTAGAGGAACATAGGGCTTCAGCTGCGCACCTCCATTGACTTCGGTTTTCTGACAACTTTTTCACCCTGCTCCAGGTCTGTCCACATGCTTTCATCTCCTCCTCGCATGACCTCCTCCAAGTCACCCTTGGACGACCAACTCGCCGCCTCCCTTTCGGGTTCCACTCGAGGGCTTGTCTAGTGATGTCACTTGATGGTTTCCTCAGCGTATGGCCAATCCATCTCCATTTCTTTCTGCCTATTTGTTTCACAATCGGTTCCTGATTGGTTCGCTCCCAGAGATCCCTGTTGCTGATCTTTTCTGGCCATCTGATCTTGAGTATTGAGCGGAGACAGTTGTTAATGAAGGTTTGAAGTTTGTTTGAGATGCTCTTTATGACTCGCCAAGTCTCTGATCCGTATAGTAGCACTGACTTCACATTGGAGTTGAAAATCCGGATCTTATTTTTGATGCTGATTGCTGTTGACCTCCACACAGATTTGAGAGTAATGAAAGCTTGTCTTGCTTTTCCGATTCTGGCTTTGATGTCCTCGTCAGTTCCGCCTGTAGTTGAGACGATGCTTCCCAGGTAGGTGAAGGAGGTTGTTTCTTTCAGGTTCTTCCCATTTATGCTTATTGTGGTCTGTTGGTGTTGTTGATGTTGGCTAGGAATCTTCATCATCTCTGTTTTATCTATGTTCACGTGAAGTCCTATCTTTGATGCTTCTTCTGCCAACTTGTTACTTTTCACTTGCATATCTTCCAGTTTATGGGAAATCAGACATATATCATCGGCGAAATCCAGATCCTCCAAGTCTTTTGTGTCAGTCCATTTTATGCCTGTTCCCTCGTTGGTTGCCGTTGTCTGTCGCATTATCCAATCAATTGCAATCAGGAAGATCATTGGTGATAGTAGACAGCCTTGCCTCACTCCCGTCCTCACTTCGAAGGCTTCCGTAAGTTTCCCGTTGTGGATTACTTGGCATGCAGCATTGTCGTATAACTGTTGGATGAGGTGTATAATTGTCGATGGGACCCCGTAGTAGCGAAGTAGTTTCCAAATGACCTCTCGATCGACGCTGTCGAAGGCCTTTTCAAAGTCGATGAAGTTGAGATAGAGAGGTGACTGCCATTCCAAGCTTTGTTCAATGATGATCCGTAGAGTGGCGATTTGATCAATACATGATTTGTTTCTCCTGAATCCAGCCTGTTCCGGACGAAGTTTTTCATCTAGGGCTTGTTTGATTCTCTCCAGGATGATGCGACTTAGTATCTTGCTTGGAATGGACAGAAGCATAATTCCACGCCAGTTTTTACATTGACTTAAGTCTCCTTTCTTTGGAAGTTTGAATAAGTAACTGTTCTTCCAATCCTCGGGTACTTTGCCCTCTTTCCACACCTTCTCCAGTAGTGGTGTCATCAAGTCCGCTGTTGTCTCTGGGTCTATTTTCAAAGCCTCTGCTGGGATTCCATCTGGTCCCGGTGTTTTCCCAGTTTTAAGCATCTTGATTGCATTCAGGACTTCTGATTTCGTCGGGGGGTCAGTGTTCACTGGTAGTTCTGCTTCCGTTGTTGGTATTGCTGGACGTGTTGTAGGTGGCGGACGATTTAGAAGTCTTTTGAAGTGTTCAACCCAGTGCTTTCTCTGTTCCACCTCTTTGGTGATTGACTTTCCATTGTCGTCCTTTATTGGCTTAATCTGTGTCGAACGTTTGCCCGAAAGGTTCCTAGTTGTTTGGTAGAGTGTGGCGAGGTCTCCTTTGCCTGCAGCTTGTTCTGCTTCGTTTGCCATGGTTTCATAATATTTTCTTTTGTCTTCCCTGGCACTTTTCTTCACTCTTTTGTTCAGTGTATTGTAGCTTGCATTCAGCTCCTGTTTTTGTTGCTCGTCGTGCACTGGATAATCTTTTGCTTCACTGTCCTTCTCTCTTCTATTAGTTTCCAAGTGTCCGTAGTGAGCCACTGTTTGTCCTGTCTCTTTTTTCTGCCTAGAATTTCTATGCAGGTTTGGCTCCACACCGTTTTCAAGTTGTTCCAGTGCTTTTCAACGCCGACCTCTTCGCTAGTGTTGATTTGTGTCTCGGCTTTGTCCTTTATGCTTGCAATGAAGATGTCCTTTGTAGCCTGGTCCTTCAGCTTTTGAGTGTTGAACTTGGCTTGTGGTCTATCTGCAGCTCCTGATTCCCTGAAAGCTTTTAATTTGATTTGGATTGTCCCTTGTACGAGATAGTGGTCTGAGCCAACGTCTGCTCCTCTTCTTGCTTTTGTGTCCAGTAGGCTGCGCCTCCACTTCCTTGAGATTGAGATGAAGTCGATTTGGTTTTTGGTTTGCCCGTCTGGTGACACCCATGTAGCCTTG